TTCTTAATGGTATAATCTCATCTCATATCTCTCTGAAGGTATGCATTAGAATGTTAGAAAATATTTTTCTTGTTTCCTGAACTACCTGTGTTCCTCCTGTTTTATCTTGTTCCTTCTCTCTCACACTTTGTTTTCCTCAAATAGCTGATAATCCTTAATTGTTGATATTTATAAATGAAGGACTTCATTTATCACTGTAGATAACTTGCATGAATATCCTACACTGTTTTAAAGGTCTTTTTTTTTTTCTGCTTTTTCTCCCCAAATCCCCCCAGTACACATTTGCATATTTTAGTTGGGGGTCCTTTTAGTTGTGGCATGTGGGACACTGCCTCAGCGTGGCCTGATGAATGGTGCCATGTCCGCACCCGGGATCCAAACCAGCGAAACCCTGGGCCCCCAAAGCGGAGCATGCCAACTTAGCCACTCGGCCGTGGACCGGCCCCAGAAGGTCTTTTTTGACACCAGATCTCTTTACTGTATAATCGGGAGGAGCTTATTGGCAGGCTTTTAGATGTAAATTAGGTGAGCTGGGGGCAGCTGTTGAATTCCATGATTGCCAAAATAAGGAAAGCTTCGTTCTAGGGCAGAGTGTGGAATCCCTTAGAGTATTTCATTTTTATGAGGAGCTGCCTTTGTTTGTTTGTTTCTTCTTTTCTGTGTTGTGGAGGTTCAAAGTTCTCTTAAACGTTGCTTAGTTCACGAGAGAGCTTTACTTCCTTATGTCAGTTGCTCTGTATACACAGGCCCAACTGTTCAGCAGTAGTCCTAAACGTAGTTATTCTGATGATCACCTTGTGGCCTGTTCTCCCTTACTGTACTGTTTGTCCTGTCCTGGGAGTATCTTTGGGAAGAACAGCTCTCCCTTCTATAGGAGCCATCTCTTATTCCTATTTTGGATTACAGTTTGTTCTATTCTGGTTTCTTAATCAGAATCTGTCAGCCTGTCAGTTTGCTGAAATTCTGTAGTTTTGGATCATTAATAGTACCCTTTCCTTGTTTCCAACTCTGCAGATTTATTTCCCTTTTTCCCTTTACTTTTTGCCTGTTTTAGTTTCATTTCAATGGTATTGTGAGAAGGTGGTGAAATAAATGCATGTGCTCAGTCTGATTTTATTTATTCATCACCACTTACTATGAGTAGGTAACGTTCTAGGTTCTGTGAATAAGATAGACAAAGGTGTCCCAGCTTTCACAGAGATTATATTTGGATGGGGGGACATATTGAGCATATAATTAAAAAAAGACAGCTTATAGTAGTAGATTATAGTAGTAGTAGTAGATTCTAGAAGGTAACATGGGCTGGGGGGGTTCTGGGGGTGACCTATAAATTGACAGCTGAAGGAAATAAAGCCTGTCTCGTGAAGAGCCTTGGGAGGAGAGCTTTAGGCAGAAGGATTAGCAAATGCAGAGACTCAAGGAGAGGAAGGAGCCTGTTTTATTAAAAGGAAAGCATGTCTGGGGTGCAGTGAACAAAGTGGCTAGTGGTGTCAGATGAGATTGGAGAGAGGTGTCAGTTCTTGTAGGGACTTGGAGTCTTTGGTAAGGAAATTTGACTTTATTTTAAATATGGTGAGAACCAAACGAAAGGTTTCAGAAGGGGAGCCATACAGTTTGTTTTTATTTTTGTTTCTAAGATAATTTTGGCAGCTCTGTAGGGAATGTATTTGATTTGGATGTTGCCTGTGGAGGTGGAGAAAAATGAAGAAATTGTGGATGTATTTTGCAAGGAGTATCTTTGGACCTTTGGCTGATGTAAGCTTCAGTAAACTGAGCCACAAATGACAAGTTATTTGGCTTGTCCAACTGGTTGGTGCTGTTTACTAATATAATGAAGGTTGGGGGAGGAACAGCTTTGGATGAAGGAAAATCAAGAGTTATTTTATTTTATTTTTCCTGAGGAAGATTCTACCTGAGCTAATATCTGTTGCCAGTCGACCTCTTTTTGCTTGAGGAAGATTCTCTCTGAGCTAACATCTGTTCCAGTCTTCCTCTCTTTGTATGTGGGTCGCTGCCGACGAGTGGTGTAGGTGTGTGCCTGGGAACTGAACCTGGGCTGCTAAATCAGAGTGCACCCAGCTTAACCGCTAGGCCACGGGGCCGGGGCCAGCCCAAGAGTTATTTTTTGATACATTTGAAATGCTTGTGATAGAAGGTGAAGCTGTAGGTAGGCAGTCTAGAACTTTGGGACGAGGTCAGAACTGAAAGTATAAATTTAGAGCCATCATAACAATAGTGTTTATTGTTTTGGGTCTATAGATTATCTAGGCAGAGTGTCAGTAAGAGAACAGGGCTTAGGGCAGAGTCGTGAGGCTTTCATATTAGAAATGAAGAGGAGAAGACAGCAAAGGAGATGGCTGGTGAGATAGGAAACCTGGAGAGCCTGAAAATCAAGTGAAATAATTTCAAGGACAAGAGTAGTCATCTTTGTTGAATTTTTGAGAGATGATATTAAAATGAATAAAGAGCAATGTCTGTTGGATTTGATAACAGATTTTTGTCCTTCTTGATGATCATTTTCATTGTGTTGGAAACTATACTGGAGCAGATTGATGAGTGAATGGGAGGTGAGAAACTTAAGGCAGAAAGTACAGGTTCCTCTTTTTTGAGAACTTTGGCTGTGAAGAAGGTTGCAGAGATGAGTGGGTAGCTGGAGGAACAAACCTAAATTCAGTGTCAAACTTTAAAAGGCATACTATAAAAAGCTTTACCTATTACTATTTCTTTCAACTTTTTTTCTTTGAGAAATTCTAAGCATACACAAGAGTGGAAAATGGCCAACCCTGACCCATCCACACCCACATTTACTCCTTCCCTTGCATATTATTTTTAAGCAAATTTCATATAGTTTCAGTTATAAATATTTCATTCTGTTTTTAAAAGATAGACCTTTAAAAACATAAGCACAGTAAAAGATTAACAATAATTCCTTAATATCAGTGTCCAACTGGTGTTGAAATTTTCAGGTTTCTCATAAATGGTCTTAAGGCTTTTAGAAACAGATTCCAAATGAGATCCACACATTGCATATGGGTGCTATCTTTATTTATTTATTTATTTGAGGAAGATTAGCCCTGAGCTAACATCTGCCGCCAGTCCTCCTCTTTTTGCTGAGGAAGAGTGGCCCAGAGCTAACATCCGTGCCCATCTTCCTCTACTTTATATGTGGGATGCCTGCCACAGCATGGTGTGCCAAGCGGTACCATGTCCGCACCTGGGATCTGAACCAGTGAACCGCGGGCTGTCAAAGTGGAACGTGCAAACTTAAGCACTGTGCCGCTGGGCTGGCCCTGGGTGGTATCTTTTCTTAGCTCTCTTTTTATCTGTTTTCTGTTTTTTTCCTTGCAAATTATATGTTAAAAATCTCCATCACCTGTCCGTCTGGATGTGCTGTTTGTGTCTCCATGGACTTTTGTTTTTCCTGTGAATTGTAATTTGGATCTAAGGGCTTGATGAAATTTGATTTTTTTTTTTCACAAGAGTACTTAATTAGGGAAGTCTTCTATCAGGAGGCACATAAATTCTGCTTTATCCTTGTTTTTGTGATGTTAGCAGCTGTTGATGTTTATTTAGTACTTAGATCCTTTAGTTCATTTCAGGTTGAAAATGGTGATACTCTGATTTTGTCACTCCTTCTTCATTTTTTTAGCTGCCGTAATTCTAAAATGAGAAACTTCCCTTCATTTGCTCTTTGGTTACCTGTTGAATGGTACAGTTCTAATAGAAAAGGCAGGCTACATGCTTTATTGTTTTTCTTTATTTAAGTTTTCAAAATGGTGAGTTGGTTCTTTAGCGTCTTCCTATGGTGACCAAGTAATTTTTGCTTTTGTTTTTGTGTTTAATGTCATGTACTCCTGGTTTTAAGTATATTTGATATGTTTCAGTCTGTTATAGTTACTGTTTTTATTGATGCTCAAATTGTCGTCTACTGGTCAATGGGAGCCTCTTCAAGTTAGCCATTGAGTCCTTTAACTAGACCCTGTTTTCCTTGATAACTTTCTTGCAATCAGGAATAATTAAACACATCATCTGGTATATATCTGATCTGAGACCTGGAATTAACTAATTCTCCAAGGATATGGTATTTGAAAATAACTGTTACATATTTTACTTAAATTTTTTTTTAACTTTACAGTAGCCTATTGAACATACTTATTTGACAGTCTTTTAAATTGTTCCCTTTAGTTCTTGGGATATGAATGTTCTTATTTGTTTTGCCTCTTTACTGTTGTGATTTTAGGCATTTGGGAAATTCTCTTTCTTGCTTTTGCGTTCAGGTATGTATTAAAGCAAATTTTTGGTTTTTAGTTTGTTGTTTGTCTTATCCAACATTTTGATTTGTTTGGAGTGAAGGGGCTGGCTTCTTGCGTTACTTAATTAAATCACCATATTGACTAAAGTTCTCCTGTTGCTATTCCAGTTAGGGATTAACATGTTCCTAGAATGTCAGAAATGATGTCATCTGTGGCTAAAGTGAAAACTAACTGCTTACTTCCTTAGTGTTTTTATATTTGTTATGGATGCTTTCTGTTTGCTTTTTATTGGTAAGCTTAATATACTATGGTTAAGGTCAGTTTTGCTTTTGCGTATTTGACATACTTCAAATCTGTAATTTGGGTAGGGGACAAAAAGAAATGGAATTTTTTTCCCTTTTCTAATACTTGACTATTTTTAATTGGAAGCAGAGAGAAGGAAAAAGGCAGAAAGGTCACTGTGAAATTGTGTGAACTTGTAGGGGTTGAAATTAAATGTGCCAAATAAAGAAACTTGTCTTCTGTTACAAGATTCCTCCTAACTATGTGTTAATGTGGATCTAAATTCCGTTAAATTTCTGTTTTTCCTGTGCGGGTGTGAGGGACATAGAAGTTGTGGTTATCATTTTATAAAATATGCCAGCAGCAAACTCTAGTGCTATTTAGAAGGAAAAAGAAGGCATTGAGAACTTGGGCAGGTAGTGCTTGCTAAGCTCTAAAGTATATCACTTTTACTCGTCCGTACAGAAAACAAGCATGAGGCCAAGAGGAGGCGGACAGAGAGAGTTAGGCGAGAGAAGATAAATTCTACAGTAAATAAGGATTTAGAAAACAGAAAGAGATCTCGAAGTAACAGCCATTCAGATCATATCAGACGAGGAAGAGGAAGACCTAAGAGTGCGTCTGCCAAAAAGCACGAGGAGGAACGAGGTATGAACAAACCCAGGCGGGTTTTCCGAGGATGAAGTTTGTCTCAGATCTTCATTAGATGGCAGTGAAGAAAGTGTTTGGGAGGCACTGAACTCCTGGACTGAAATCACAATCATATTTTAGTTTGAAAGCATTTCCTCTGAGGTAGATGCTTGTTAAAAAACACAGAAATTTAATTCTTACTGGAAAGCTAAAGGCTTAAGTAAAACTCACCTTGCTATAAACTAATAGAGTTCAGAGATGATAATTTGTAAATGGCTTCTGGAGAAGCCTATTAAAATGACTGTACTTTGGAGTTTATTTTGTTTTTTTAAGGATAAATCTGAGTTCTGTTCAGACTTATTTCAAATTGTTATACTATGTGCTTTAAAAATTTACTATTGAAAGTGTTCCTCAGTATGAGTTTTTAGATTGGTTATTGTGTGCTTCCTACTTTGAAGCAGCTTTTAGATAGTTAGGTAAATTCCCCTTGGTCCAAAATGCGTTTATATTTCTCCTTACGTATCTTCTCCTTTCTTCTGATAAGTAATTTGTCTACCAATAACTTGTTTTTAACCATACTAAAGCTTTAGCTTCTCTTCTTTGATTTATACATCTTTTAAAAAGCTTTTTATTATGGAAAATTTCAAAGATTACACAAGAGAAGAGAGAATAGTATAATGAAACCCCCATGTGCCCATGATTATCTTTTTAAAATTGAGACTTTGAAGCCAGTTATTAATGAAAAAAAAGGATAGTTGCTCTTTATAATTCTTTAAAAACCTCTGCCAAGATAATTTCTTCTTTAGTGAAATGTGTTTATAATTTCTTATATTATTTGTGAGTTATGCTTTGCTTTTTCAAGTAGTCAGTCTTAGGTATTCAGGTATTCAAGCATAAATGTAGATTTCTCGTATTTTAGATGCTGAGAATTTTTTACCCAGTCACCATTTCTGTCTGCTTTGTGTGCTTTTATTTACATAAAGTTACTGCTGCTGGGGAAAATAACTTCACTGGTATAGCTGTCCCTAAATTTTATCAAAGTTAAAGATTTTTTAATATTGTATGGCCAAAGGAATAGCGTTTATGTTGTATTTGACTGTATCCTATGAAGACCATACTTAGATACACCTTAATTTCTTGGGTAATTTTATTGCTTTTTCTCTTTCCTTCTATTATACTGCTCTTCCAGAGAGTTTGAGTTATTTTCTCAATTTGAATGTGCTTTTTTAACAATGGGATGATCAGAAAATCTATGCAAAAGACTGTTTCCGAAGGAAACGAAAAGTCAAAGAGGAAAGAGAAAAGAGGGAAATACTGGTTGGCCTAGAAAGCAGAACATTCTTTTCAATTGAGGTAAAGGGAATATAACCCAAAGAATGGAGAAGGAATGCTTCTGGTGGTGCTTGAGAGGAGATGAGAAAGCAGATGATGACAGTCTTTTAGTGGGGAAAAGAAGTTGATAGAGTTGTGCTAGGACTCTATATATGCAGATTTGAACTTTTATTTCATGTTAACTTGAAAAAAGAAGATTTATTTGGCTGTAAGTTTTTGTCAGGTATTTTCAGTTTATTCTAGAAAAGTTTTAAGAAAGCTAGTTCTAGAGTAAGATATGCTTTTATTTGCTTTTAGTACAAACAGGAAAGTGCTCAAGGCAGTTTTTGGAGAATAAACTGGAATCTCTTAAGGTAGGCCCAGGGGAGTGAGCAAACTTTTTCTGTAAAGAGCCAGGCAATAAATATTTTAGGCTTTGTGGGCCTTACAGTCTTTGTCGCAGCTGCACTGCTTTGTCGTGGTGGCTGGAAAGCAGCCATAGACAATATGTAAATGAATGTGCGTGGCTGTGTGCCAGTAAGACTTTATAGAAACAGGTGGTGGGCCAGATTTGGCCCCTGGGCTGTATTTTTGCCAACCCTTGAGGCAGACCATGTTTTCTAAGTATAATGCGGATAGAAAATATGAACTTTTGAAATATCTGTATATTTTAGAATAGACTTCTTTGATAGGTTTCTTAGTGTTAAGTAATTAGTTTAAATCAGTTTTGATTCCCTCTTCATAGGCAGTTGAAAAATTTGAAGCAAGCTTTACTTTTATTTTAATAAGGAAAACCTGACAATGTGTCTGAAAACATGTTTTTAATTGACTTTATTGTTTTCTGTATTTTGAAAAAGAGTAGGAAAAAGAATGGAAAAGGAACATTGTTAGACACCTAGATAATAAGAAATAATAAAAACAAACCTTTAAACTTAATTTTTGGTCAGTTTAAGATGTTTTTATTTGTGGGGAGTATGATTATCCTGGATATTAGTAATGTAGGGGTGATATTTTAACTGATTAAAGTATGTTCTGCAATTCTGAGTGTTTTATTAGTGAACATATAGAATTAATGTAGACTTCAAGGTAAAGATGGTGGATTGAATAAAAACATCTAGCTCTGTACCCTACCAGATCCTAGTAAAATCACAGTAAAGGGATTTTTTTTTAAAGGGCAAAACTCCCAAGGACAAGGAATGGAAGAGGCAGCAAAATTCCAGGAGGTGAAAACTGTTTGAGGAGACCCATGAAACCTAATTGTAAGCTCCTTTGGGGAGAGCTAAGAAAGAAGCTGATTTTTATTACACAATTGCCTTAAGGCAGGAATTTGTGCATCAGTTATGTCTGGAAGTGTAGAGGTGAAGGTGGAGCTAAAAACAAGATTGTTTGGAAGTCTCTTTTTTAATAGCCCCCTAGGACTGTTTACCTCATCCTCCCTCCAAGTTTGGGAAAGATAAGATAAAACAGAGTTTCTGGTCTAGGGAACACCAGGCATCAGTGAGGGCAGGGGTACTATGTGAAGATCAGGAAGATTAGGTGAAAATTTGAGATGATAAATATTGAGTTCAGGCTTATTTTATATCTTTCAGGTAAGAGATTAGAAGTATCTTCTCTAGGATACCAGATACAGATACATTCATTTGGGATTTCACAAAGAAATGGCCCAGTCAGATCATCCTAAAGTGATGCCCACAGTCAAGCTCCACATATGTGCATGAGCTAATTAACTTTTTTTGGTCCCGCTCCTAAACATGAGCACATTACCAAGAATTACCCAGATATACAGAAGAAAGCATCTAGTATCAAAGGCTAAGACCAAATCAACAGGGGAAAAAATAATTTGGATACAACAAGTTTTTGCAGGGAGAAGAAAAAATTAAAACTATCATTAATACTCTTCGCAAGAGAAGATATTGTAGTCTTGAAACAAGAGTAAGATGATATTTAAAAGGAAATTGCAAATGTCAAGAAATTACCTGGAAAATGAACTTTAAAATGTGAATCTTGGGGCCAGCCCCGTGGCTGAGTGGTTAAGTTCGTATGCTCCGCTTCAGTGGCCTGGGGTTTCTCAGGTTCAGATCCCAGGCGCAGACATGACACTGCTCATCAAGCCATGCTGAGCCAGCATCCCACATAGCACAACCAGAAGGACCTACAGCTAAAATATATAACTATGTACCGGTGGGGCAACAGTTGTTAGCTCAGGTGCCAGTCTTTAAAAAAAAAAAAAGTGGATCCCCCCAAAAAAATGAACATATATATATATATATGTTCATATGATTTGCAGAAATGAAAAACTTTAACAGAAGGCTTATAGACAAAATTGAAGAAATGTACCAGAACATAGAGCAATAGGAAAAGAGATGAAAAAAATAAAATGGGAAAGATAAGAAATTTAGAGGACCAGTTTGAGATCAACATCTGTAAATAATTGATGCTGCAGAAAATGAACATAGAAGATGGAGGAGAAGGAAGTCATCAATGAAATAATTTAAGAAATTTTCCCAAACCTGAAGGACGTTCAGTTTCCATGTTGAAATGGCCCACCAGATTCCCAGCCCAATGGATGGTTAAAAGTAGAGATTATAGGGGCTGGCCCCGTGGCCGAGTGGTTAAGTTCGCGCAGTCCGCTGCAGGCGGCCCAGTGTTTCGTTGGTTCGAGTCCTGGGCGCGGACATTGCACTGCTCATCGGACCACGCTGAGGCAGTGTCCCACATGCCGCAGCTGGAGGGACCCACAACGAGGAATAGACAGCTATGTACCAGGGGGCTTTGGGGAGAAAAAGGAAAAAATAAAATCTTTAAAAAAAAAAAAAAAAAAGTAGAGATTATACCAGAGCATTTCATCATAAATCAGATCTCTTTGGTTAAAGGGAAAATCCTTCAAGTGTTTGGAGAAAAAAGAATCAAATAATATTGGAATTAATACAGTGGGAAAAATACTACCCAGCCAGGAACAAACTATTTATATGTGAGCAACGTCAGTGAATTTAAAAAACATGTTGAACAAAGAAGCTAAACACAAAACAGTACATACTATATGATGCCATTTATATGAAGTTCAAGAACAGGCAAAATGAATCTATGGTGGTAGAATCGGAACAGTGGTTGCTGGGAGGGTGGGGAGGGATTGACCAGAAAGAAGCGTGAAGAATTCTGTATGTCTTGATTGTGGTGTGGGTTACATGGATGTGTATGTTTCTCAGAACTCATCCAATTGTACACCTAAGATCTGTGTATTTCACTGTATGTAAATTGAGCAATAATTTTAAAAATAAAAAAAGGTATTGGGTTTTCTTTTTTCAAGATTTTATTTTTCCTTTTTCTCCCCCAAACCCCCTGGTACATAGTTGTGTATTGTTTTTAGTTGTGGGTCCGTCTAGTTGTGGCATGTGGGATGCTGCCTCAGCATGGCCTGATGAGTGGTGCCATGTCTGCACCCAGGATCCAAACCGGTGAAACCCTGGGCTGCCGAAGCAGAGCATGAGAACTTAACCACTTGGCCATGGGGCCAGCCCCAGTATTGGGTTTTCTTAACAGTGGCACCAGTAGTAGTTCTAGGCAGACAATTTTTTGCCTTCATGATCCTAGGGGGATATCTACGAGTCCTTAGTCAACCACACTATGAGTTAGTGTAAAGGTTGACCAAAGACACTTTCTGACATTTAGGGTCTCAAAAAATTTGCTACCTGTACTCCCTTTTTCAGGAAGCTACTGCAGAATACATGTTATCAAAATGAAGACATAAACCAAGAAAGTATCTTGGGATCCGGGTCACAGGGTCCAACTCAAGAGAGAGATGAAGAGAATCTGCAGCATGGTGTTAAGAGATTCAAGATAACAGTTGTGTAATAGACCTGGAAAACAACCGTTTCAGATTGGAGCACATCAGATGACTTGGAGAGATTTCTTCAAGACGATAACATTGATATAATACATAATATGTCTAAAATTCTGAAAGACACACATAACTAGGAGAGAGTTTGGGTTGAATTAGTAATGAAAACCTAAGCAAATGAAAAAAGAGAATCCCTTCAGGGAAAACAATGTGCAGGAAAAGGAAAATAATTTACATAGAATAATGTAAACATTGAATATTGATCTCACCGAAATTGTGATATAATGGGGACAGTGTGGTACAATACGTGGAAAACAACAAAATCCTAATTTTCCATGGGAGAAAGGCACTTAATAATGCCTAAAATAAAAAAACTAAAAAGTAACATCATATAAAAAATATTAGAGATAGAGACATAAAAACAAAAAGGAACAATTGAAGAAAAAAGTAGTTGCATTTGGAGAGTGGGAAATGTATATGGGGGGAGGACTTCTGTTTTTATAGCAAGTTTGGTAAAAATGATTTGACTCTAAATTATGTGCATGTTTACCTTTGATTAAAAGGTCAAAACAAAATTAAAAAACAGGAAAAAGTAGAATCATAATAGAGCCTGAGAAAATTTGGAAAAATGTACACAAAGCTGTTAATTGTGACTTTAGCTGGCTCATGATAAAATAGATGATTTTTATTTTCTTTTTTGTTTTTCTATATTTTTCAAATTTTCTACCATGAACTTGGATTACATTTGTAATCAGGAGGGGGAAAAATAGACATAAATGTTCATTATTCTTATTTTCTGTAGCAGGGCTAAGGTGAAGAAGTTAATATATTCATAAAGGCACCACTGATGTTCAGAAGGGACCATCTTTAGGGTGAGAAAATTCATTTTGACCAAGACAGTGAGCTCATACTAGTGAGGAGAAGGAAATGTTTGAGAGTCTTAGAAAAATGATGTAGCTATTAGACTATGTATAGAAACATACATCATTTCCATTTAGTCTTAGAATTTAGTTCATGGCATTTCTATAACTCTTTTGTGTAATTTTTAAAAATTTTCAGTTCAGTAGCATACTTTATAACACAGTGTACACTGTAGTATAACGTATAATATTTGTCATTTAAAGAAATACTTGAAAGCTTTAAGTTTTTTAAAAAAAATTACTGCATCTACTGCCTTTATATTAAGCTTCCCCTTTTTCTTTTAACAGAGAAACAGGAAAAGGAAATTGACATCTATGCTAACCTCTCTGATGAAAAGGCTTTCGTGTTTTCAGTCGCCTTGGCAGAAATAAATAGAAAAATTATCAATCAAAGACTTATTCTTTGATATTTGTCTGAAAAATGTGTCGAAACTTTCTTCAGGATTACATCAGCAAATTCTCGAACAGTCACGGACTCTCAGGAGCGTTCTGACTGCATCAATAAGGGCCATCGATTGTTTTTTTCCCCCCTGTCATTTAGCCTGTGCCACATTTGGGAGCAAAACTCTAGGCTTGGACTATTTTGGGATTTCCTTGTTTACCAAGGAGTGTTGTCAGTGTTTTGTGTTTGGGACATAAGTAAGTATATATTTACCACCCCTCCCCCCCCCAAAAAAACTGGATGGCTATTAAAGGATAAAGGGGTAGGGGTGGGAGTGGAAGTGTGAAAACTAGGGAGATAAAATGCTTAATAGTATTCGGGTTTGCCACCAGAGATGCAATATTTTAAATACTTTGAGAAAGAGTGACTTTTAAAAGTATATATTTCAGATTTTCAGCAGTAACAGATTGCATATATACAGTTCAATTACTTTTAATAAATTGGCAATTGATATATTATTGAATGGGGAATTAAGAATATAAACTGTAAATTTTGTCTTAAATTGATTTTTTTCTTGGCCTTTATTTTTATGACTTAAGGTATGAGTTGTATTTTGGGAGATACTTTCTAAACAGTTTGGAAGTTTGGGTGCTACATGAAGAAAAACGTTTAAGGATATATCATACTTTAGATATAAACACCTTGTTTTCTTGAATGTAATTTATTTATTGGTTAAAAAAAAAACTTTTCTGCTCTCAAGATGGTGCCTGTTAACCTAAACATAAAATATATTTATTACTTACAAAATATTTCTTAGATAGCCACTTTTAAGCAGTAATGTTTTATCTGAATGGGTGTTCATTTATACATCCTGATAATTATTTAAATTGTTACTTAACCCCACTCTGGAAGAAAAAAATAAATTTAATATTGAAATTAATAGATTAAATAGTGTGGTGTAAGCTTTTTGTTCTAGTGAAGTTTGTGAAATATATTTGACTCAATTTTTCTAGTGTTAAATGATATTTATAGTTGATTTATTTTGTACTAAATGTTTTTACATTTTTGCATATCAATTTAATGATTAACATATTCAGACTTGACAGTAACTCCCTTATTTTAAGTGCTCCCCACCCCCAAAATCTGTTTGGAAGTCCTACCTTATTAGGGAAGGTAGTCATCAGTTAGACTTAGCCCTTACTTAAAAGAATTTTCCTTTCAGTTTCAGCAGTAGGGTTGTCAGCTTCATCATGCGTCTCTCATCCATCACTTCCCAAAAGAAAAAAGGTTTACCTTTTTTTCTACTTTATTTAAATGGTAGCCAGCAGAGGGAGCTTAAGAGGTACTCTAGGTAGAATGTAGAATTTTCCTAAGAATTCCTTTTCTCTCAATCCCCATATTTACCTGCAGGTACTAGTACAATTATCTTGTATACATTTTAAAGCCCTAGTAATAAAGTTTATTCCCAAGAATACTAGTGTGATTTTATTTTTGAAACATAAGAAAATAAAATTAAAAATTACAAATAACTTAAAAATTCAGGCAGAGTAAATTCACATTTCTTGAAGTTTCGGAAATACTTTTAAAAATAATGATTAGGATGGCATGATATCTGTATTACTTCCTCAAAGTAGTATGTCATGAGTATTTTTCCTGAGATAAGCATTCAAATTGAAAAGTATTTGACTTTCTAAACTCTGGTAATTACACTTGATTCTGTAATTCTGGCTGTAACAATGTCTTAGCAGTATACTTAATTTTTACTCTCCTTTCAACCTGCATGTTTATCCTTTAAATGTGGAGAAAGTAAGCTCTTTATACACTTCGTACAAAAGTATTCATCAAATTTGTTTGATTCTGCATACAAAAATATGCTCTAGATACAAGTCATCACACTGCCAAATGGAATATATTCTTCCCTAAAATATTTGTCTATCATTCTTTGAAACTCCTTTAAAATTATTATTTCCATTTTACCTTCTGGTTTTGATTTGATACTTTGTTTTCTTGCTAATTTTCTTTAAATTTCACTGGTATTTTCTATCTTTTTAGCCTTTTATGTTTTTTATAAATGAATTGCTTATTTCACTTTGTACGTTTTTAATGTATAGCTGTTTTTTTTCCCTCTTTTACTACTGTTATTATAAGCCTTATTTTTAGTTTGGAGATATATATATTTATCTATATATACACACACTTTTTTTTTTTTACCATTTCTAGTTATTCTTTTGTGCTGTTTCTACCCACTTATTTTAGGTTGTTAGTAGTGTTCATCACTCACATATTACGACTATAATAATGAGTATCCTAACATACAAAGTGAACTCTCCGGAATAACAAGTATGACACACATAATAGAGGCTGTAGGCTGAACCAGAATAATTCTTTTTACCACGGTCAAAAGTTTTCCTTCTTATTATTAAGGAATCTGTATTGTTCTCTTATTGTTGAGGGTCCCCCCCCCGCCCTTAATGTGTTATCAGTTTACAATCTGTATGCCTTTTAGTTCTTTTTCCTTGCCTCATTGCACTGGCAAGGACTTCAGTACAGTGTTGAAAAAGAATGGTGAGAGAGGAACTCTTTGCCTTGATTCCAGTCTTAGAGGGAAAAATATTCAGTCTTACACCATTAAGTATGATGTTAACTGTAGATGTTTATTGTAGAATAACCTTATCATATTAGGGAATACCCTTCTATTCCTGTTTGCTGAGAGTTTTTATCATGAACAGATGTTGCATTTTGTCAGACGGTTTTTCCATATAAATTGATATGATGTTGTTTTTCTTTAGATGTTAATATAATGGATTACGCTGATTGATTTTTGATGATTGAAGTCAGCCTTGCATTTTTGATATAAATCTTACTTGGTTGTGTTGTATTATTATTTTTATATATTGATGAATTCTTTGTTGAGAGTTTTTTACTCCTGTGTTCTTGAAGGATATTGAGCTATAGTGTTTTTCTATTGTCTTTGTCTGGCTTCGGAATCAGGTGATACTGGTTTCGTATAATGAGTTGGGAAGTATTTCATCCTTTTTTATTTTCTGGAAGAGATTGTGAGAATTAATATTATTCTTTAAATGTTTGGTAGAGTTTGCCATTGAAACCATCAGGGCCTAGAGATTTCTGTTGCAAAAGGATTTTACTAAGAATTCAGTTTCTTTAATAGTTGTTGAACAATTCCAGTTATCTGTTTGTATTTGGGAGAGTTTTGGTAGTTTGTGATTTTCAGGGAGTTGGTCCATTTCATCTAAGTTGTTGAATCTGTGTGTCTAGAATTGTTTGTAGGATTCCCTTATCTTTTTTCTGTTTCGGGGATCAGTGGTGTTCCCTCTTTCATTCCTAATGTTAGTAATGTGTGTCTTTTCTCTTTTTCTTTTTTTGTCGGTCTTACTAGAGGTTTTTTAATTGTATTGCTTCTTCAAAGAGCCAGCTTATGGTTTATTGATACTCTCTGTTGTTTTTCTAATTTCCATTAATTTCTGCTCTTTATTTCCTGCCTTCTGCTTGCTTTGGGTTTATTCTTCTTTTTCTCGTTTCTTATGGTGGAAGCTTAGATTGCAGATTTTAAACTTTTCTAACTGAAGCATTTAATGCTATAAATTTGCCTTTAAGCAAAAACTGTATTTGCTTTAGCCCACAAATTTTGTTGTGCTGGATTTTCATTTTTGTTCAGTTCAGAATATTTTCTGATTTTCTTTGATGTTTCTCCTTTAATTTCCAAGTGTTTGGAGGCTTTTCCACTTATCTTTCAGTTATTGATTTTTAGCTTAATTCCATTATCATCAGAGAACATATTTCGTGTGATTTCAGTTCTTTTAAAATTATTTGAGTTTGTTAGGACCTAAGGATACAGTCTGTCTTGCTAAGTGTCCATGTGCATTTGAAAAGAATGTGGAGTCTGCTGATACTGTTCACTTCTGTATCTTTGCTGATTTTCTATTAGTGTTATCTATCACTGAGAGGAGTGTTGAAATCTCCAACTATAATTATGGATCTGTCTGTTTCTCCTTGTAGTTCTGTCAATTTTTGCTTCATGTGTTTTGAAGCTCTGTCTTTGGGTACATAAATATCTAGGAAAGTTATATCTTCTTGGTGAGTTGACCTTATTATTAAAAATTGTCTTTCTTCCTGGTAATTGTCTTTGCTCTGTAGTACTTGGTCTGATATTAGTACCTTATAACCAGTCTACTTTTCTTTGGATTAATGTATACATGGTACATCTTTTCCATCCTTTTACTGTTAACCTACCTCTATCATTATATTTGAAGTGAATTTCTTGTAGAGAGCATATAGTGCTTTATGTTTTAATTTTTCTGATGATGTCTGTATTTTTATTGGTTTATTTAGACCATTTGTATTTAATTATATGTTTGAATTTAGAGCTGCCATTTTATTGTTTTCTACGTGATTTCTCTGTTTGATATTCTGTTTGCCTTTTCCTGCCTTTTTTTTGATTTCTTGAATATTTTTTAGTATTTTGTTTTAACTATTGCATTTTTTTACTATATCTCCTTGTATAGTTTTTCAGTGGTTGCTCTAGGTATTACCCTAAACTTTAACAGTTTACTTGAAATCCATATTTTACCAGTTCAAGTGGAACGTAGGTCCCTTTACCTTTTTCTGTTACAGTTGTCTTATAAATTAGAAAACCCATTGGATAGTGTTTTTATTTTGCTTAGAACTATTGTACATATTTTTAAGAACTCAACAGCCCGTTATATTTACCCAGATATTTGTCATTTCTGTTGCTCTTCCTTAATTCCTGATGTTCTGAGTTTCCAGTGGTATCATATCCTTTCCACCTGGAAAACATCTTTTAGCATTTCTTTTAAAGCTGATCTGCTGGCGATTAATTCTCATAGTTTACCTTCATCTGAGAACGTCTTTATTTTACCTTAATTCATGAAAGATATGTTTGCAGGATGTAAAATTCTAATTTGACAGGTTGTTTTTCTTTCAGCACATTCACAATTCCGTCACTTCCTTCTGGCTTCCATGGTTTCTGGTGAGAAGTATGCAGCCATTCAAATAATATTTCATCTGTATGAAACATTAGTTTTCCTTGGCTGCTTTAAGGAGTCCTTTGTTTGTCCTTTTTATCAGTTTGATTATGATGTGTCTGGATATGGATTTCTTTTGAGTTTACCCTCTTTGGATTTGCTGAGCTTCTTGAATATGTAAGTACATATCTTTCACCAAATATGTAAAGTTTTCAACTATTCAAGAATTTTTTCGGTTCTACCTTCTTTCTCCCCTGTGCCTGAGACTCCAGTGATACAAGTGTTAGACTTTCTGATATTATCTCACAGATTCCCAGAAGCTCTGTTCCTTTATTTTCAGTCTTTTTTTTTTCCCTGTTCAGATTGGGTAATTTCTGTTGATCTATCTCAAGTTCACTGACTTTTTCGCTTTTGATCTCCATTCTACTTAGTCCATCAGTGAATTTCATAGTTTTATTTTTGTATTTTTTATTTCTAAAATTGCTGTTTGTTTTTTATTTTTTCTCTTTCTTGAAACTTTCTATCTTTCCATTTGCTTCAAACATGTTCACCCTTAGCATATGGTTAAAATAGCTGCTTTAACATCTGTCTCTGATTATTCTAACACTTGTGTCATGTCATGATTGGTTTCTCTTGATATTTGAGTTGTTATTTTCTTGGTTCTTTGTATGCCGAGTAATTTTGGATTTCATCCTTGACATCTTGAATATTGTGTCTGAATCTCTGGATAACTAAGGATTTGGGTTGTTTTAGTAGGCAGTCAGCCAGGTTAGGTTCAGGCCGCACCTTCTGATGTGCCTCTATGAGCTGTGGTTCCAGTATCAGTTCAGTTTCTAAGTGTTGGCAGTACTATTTGGATCAGTCCTGCATGTGTACTACCTAGTGGCTAGTATGGGACCTGGGCCGTAGTCTACCCTGTAGCTCATTTCTCAAAACTTGTG